TATTGGCCGACGACTTCGTAATTATCACAAAGTTGCAGTTCGGCAGCGCTCTGAAGAAGAATGGTTTCAAACATTGTCCCAGCCAGGCTCTCAAGGAGGATGGAATTGCATGCGCCTCCCTCTTTCACAGGTTCGCCAAGAATTTTATGATGATCATGATAGCCAAACACACGTTGACTACCAATACCATCTCCTCGGATCGTATGATCTCCATCAGACTCGATGGTGGATTCGCCAAAGCTCTAGTCGTCGTACCCCTCCTGGTTGGGACGCCCCCAGTGAAGTTTGGAAGATTGTACTCTGGTCTAACAAAAGTTTCGTGATGAATCCCATCGTCTAGGTCACGATGGCGATCTGTTTCAACCCACCCGGCTCCAACGTATCCTTGCGACGATCAGAGCTACAGGTCGCAGCCCGTTTCAATTTCACCGCAGCCAAGGCTTTGAAGTTCCCAAGAAAGATGATGTTCGCATAGTTCATAGTGTTTCTCCCTTCTCCAAGGCTTATCGCAAAAGTCTTGTTCGGCACCCTGGCAAGCCGCGTCGTCAACTACCCCGTCGTGCGTTTGCTGTTCCTGGTCGGCGTCGAGCAGAAGCTATTCTCACCAAACCCGTGCTCTTTCATCGGTTCGCCAAGGCTGGGCTTAGTATCGCGAGCCACCACTACGATGTCGTCAATGCCTTTGCTTCCCCGTCGCACGACATCATGGGCGAAGCTACTCATCACCTCATGCTCTACAACGACGATGACATCATTGACGAGACTGCTGCCGAGACCCCAGATCACATTCTTCAACAAGATGAGCGCCTCCTACGTCAACACCATCGGCGCGCCCATTGTACCCCCCAAGCCCATGACAAAGTGGCTGAGTTCTATCCCCAGAGTGGTACATTTCAAGGCAACAGCGTCGCCGCCAACGAGTTTCATGTTCCCTACTGGCGTGCCACTGATGAATGGAGTGCCTTTACTCGTGTCCCCGAAATGATCGGGCGCTCTCCTCTCGATGATTCTGAAGTTGATCTTTCCATCACATCGTTTGTGGACGATTTATGCAAACAGTTCTTGATATCGACTCCTACACACTTCAAGCATACGCAAGATGATCATGATGCCAAGCTGCATCGATGCTTTGACAAGTTTACCATTGCGCAGCACATGGGCAAGAGCGAGTCAACTGTTCACTTCGTGGGTGCAGGAGCTCACACATATCAATGTATTGTTCATTCTCATCATGAGTATGGCAACGTTCTTCGTGCCGCTCGATACCTCGGCCCATATCTTCACTACAAGAATTGTTTCTATGTCGAACGCCACCTGCGCCTTCAAGCTGCCAGCGAGGCATGGTTTATTTTCCGTCGCTTTTGGTTTACTCACATTGATCTCCGTTTTCGTGCGTTGGTGTTTCGTTGCGTTGTGTGGTCTGCACTTCTCCCGGGCCTTGCCGCGTTCGCCTTGCTCTCTCACGACTACACAGTCTTCGATAAGTGCATTATATTCCGTGCGCGCAAGCTTCTCAAAGGTAAGGCTACGCCCAAGACTCCTCAGATCGACGGCACCATCAAGTACCAGCCCGCCCCGACTATTGAGATCTGGCGCAGCGTTGGTTTAGCTGATATACTCACTGAACTTCGCATTCAACGATTGAAATGGTTGCAAAAGATTTGCCGTCACCCTCTACATCATCAAGTGCATGTCACTGCCATGTTTGGTCGATTACCTCATGACGATGGCGCGCTGGTTCCTCATCCTTGGACAGATCAATTACGAACGGATATCCAAGCACTGTCTCGATTGGAATCAGCTTATTTCCTTGCTGACGTGTGCCCCGTCGACCTTCTCACCCCAGGCAACTTGCAGGAGGATTTTCTCCTTGTGGACGTTTCCGAACCTCGTGCGCTGCATCTATATGTCTCCATCTCACCGCCGTCTTGTGGATATGGTTGCGATATTTTCCACCCGTCTCCGTCGCCGTGCGCGCTCCCTTCGGGTGGATGCTACTGTGGTCTCATGCGTACCGACGGTAATCTATGCACATGCACGTTCAATACTCTTAAGGCACTTCGGTTGCATCGCGCACGTGAACAGTCCCTGCGCGGCATGATCACCCTCGGCTCGATAGTTCAAGAAGCTATATGTCCCTGGTGTTCGACGCATTTCGCTACCCGAAAGATTGCACAATACCATGTACTTCGTAGCTGGTACTGCGGTCGGTGTAAAGTCGATCTGAGTTATATCCAGTCTCCCCCCATCGTGTCCGACAAGACATACTCATGTTCCATAGGTGGCCTCTTTGGATACAGTTCCGAATGCGATGACATCTGCGTTTATCATCACCATATTCGCACGGCGCACCTTTCTGGCCCAGGACGCCTCGAGTTCTCGAGCTCGCTATCAATTTCACGATCATCCAAGCTTGATTCACAAAGCTTGCAGGCAGATTCCCTTTCTCGTGCTCATGGATCTCGGCCTCGCCACCAGCGCAGCCCCTCGCGCCGCGCAGGAGCGCCGCAAGGGCGCCAGCTCGAACGACCTCACCGCTCTCGTGCTTCTCATCGCCAAGCTGACCCTCAGCACTGCTATGTCGCCACGGATTCTGAGGGCAATCGTGCTGGACAACTATCAAGTGAACGAGAGCTCCGAGTTCTTCATCCAGGGGAAGACTTCTACAGAGAACTATTCGGAGGCGGCGAAGCAGTACAGCAAGGATCAGAAGCAGTTGAAGATCGCCACCCTAGCCCATCCACACGTGCAAGTCTGGAACGCATGGATCATGGTCGCCAAGCAGAAGCTGCAGGAGAAGGAGCTCGGCCCGCCTCAGCTTGCCAACCTGGACACGTACGTGCAGAAAATGAAGAGCATTGGCAACGAGACCAAGGATTACCTTCACGCTTTGATGCAAGAAGTTCGTTCGCTACGCCCGCTGCTGCAATACGTACGACAGCAACGTGAAGCGCCTCGAGGCGAACGCGGTTGCGGGCAGCCCGGGCTCTACGATCTTCGAAAGCATCATCGTTCCCATTCTCATCCGCGAGAAGGCCACCAAGCTCGAGGGAGTTGCACCGCCAGGCGACCTCGAGCGCAGGATCCAGACCGCGATCGACGAGATGGAGGCGTGAGCCCTGCAGCTGATCCTCCAGGCACTCGCCACCGCTTGCCGCCGAGAGACAGGCCCCCCCCCATTCGTCCCCGCTCCTCGACGATCCTCCCTTCGTCTCCTCCTCCTCTTCCTCTTAGTGTGACCGAAGGTCTTCGCTCTTCTTTACGGTTTCGGCTTGCCCGTCAGCGATTCCTAGAGCGTTCGAACTCTGGAAGTGGATTTCAGAATGCACCGCAGTAAGTCTTGTGTGCACTCGTGCTACAGGTATGAGTGCACGACGTTCGCGACCCTTCGAATTCGTATCGTTTGAGGGCTTGCGTGCACTGTCGTCGGTGGGCCTTGCCCGTGTCGCCGCCCGTTCAGTGTCGCTTCTCTGAGCGTTTGAGCCTCTGTGCACTCGAACCCGTCGCTGGCTAATCCACTGCCCTTCGAACTGTCGCTCTTGTGAGCCGTATTATGATTATCCTTATTAGTATTATTCTTATTATTATGAGTATTATTCTTATCATTATTATTATTATTGGTATGACTAGTCTTATTATGACTATTATTATTATGTTTTATTATCACTACTATTTTTACTGTTATTATTATCATTATTATTAGTATCATTATTATTAGTGGTGTTATTATTATTGGTATTATTATTATTCTTATTATTACTATTATTATTATTATTGTTGTTATTTCCTCCTCCTCCTCCTCCTCCTCCTCCTCCTCCTCCTCCTCCTCCTCCTCCCCCTCCTCCTCCTCCTCCTCCTCTTCCTCCTCCCCCTCCTCCCCCTCGTCCCCCTCCTCCTCCTCCTCCTCCTCCTCCTCCTCCTCCTCCTCCTCCTCCTCCTCCTCCTCCTCTCCTCCCCCCTCCCCCTCCTCCTGCTCCTCCTGCCTCCTCCTCTTCCTCCCCGCCTCCTCCTCCTCCCCCTCCTCTTCCTCGTCCTCCTCCTCTTGCCCCTCCTCCTCCTCCTCCCTTTCCTCCTCCCTCCTCCTCCTCCTCCTCCTCCTCCTCCTCCTCCTCCTCCTCCTCCTCCTCCTTCCCCTCCCCCCCTCCTCCCCCTCCTCCTCCTCCTCCTCCTCCCCTCCTCCTCCTCCTCCTCCTCCTCCTCCTCCTCCTCCTCCTCCTCCTCCTCCTCTCCTCCTCCTCCTCTCCTCCTCCTCCTCCCCCCCTCCTCCCCCCTCCTCCTCCCCCGCCTCCTCCTCCTCCCCTCCTCTTTTCTCGTCCTCCTCCTCTGCCTCCTCCTCCTCCTCCTCCTCCTCCCTCTCTCCTCCTCCTCCTCCTCCTCCTCCTCCTCCTCCTCCTCCTCTCTCCTCCTCCTCCTCCTCCTCCTCCTCCTCCTCCTCCTCCTCTCCTCCCCCCTCCTCCTCCTCCTCCTCCTCCTCCTCCACCCTCCTCCTCCTCCTCCTCCTCCTCCTCCTCCTCCTCCTCCTCCTCCTCCTCCTCGCGGCTCGGTATGCAAAATCGGCCCCGTCGGGGTGTGCGGCCCTGCGGCCCCGCTGCGGCTCTGGCCCCACCTGCGGCGGCCTCCCATAGGGCGCGCACCATCAAGGATCACCGAGCGCGTTCCACTACTCGCAAAGTGCCTGCTCTCAGACGTCCGAAAAACGTGTGTTTGCCTCGATGTCAGGTATCGTAAATCACCCGCGGCGGATCCAGGCCATTTGCGAGTAGTTACTTTGCGAGAACCGGAACGCGCTGGTTTTAGGAGGCGGGCAAACATTGCGACGGGATGTTTTTCGTTGTTTTCGGCCTCCCGCGGCCCTCGCTGGGCCTCGGTCTCGAAAAACGATTCACCAGGCTGCAGAAACGAGCCTCTTAGGGTGCCTAAAGGGTCCCTTCATGGCCTCCTGTTAGAGCCCGAAAAGGGTACCTTTTCTCTCCCCCTCTTGATCGCACGCCCAACTCCAGGAGCACCACCCGAACTTGGTCCGTTGCGTAGACGGCCTCATTGCCCCCACCATGAGGTACTGCGTGATGGAGCACCTTTGCGGAGAGCGGCGGTGCGAATCATCGAAGAAGACAGACAAACAACGGCAGAAACATACACAACCAGATGTCTTAGCGAATTTCTTGGGTCGGCGCTGTGACCCCCCTGGCGGCGCCTCTGGCGCTGCGCGTGGCGCGTTCCGCGCGCCAGGGAGGGGGTTCCAGCGTCCGCGCCAAGAGGTCCGCGCGGACCTCCGAAAGTTTCTGTTCAAGCAGTTTCTTTCTCCCTCTACCTCCGTCAAGGGAGGACAACCACCCGGACCAGATGATGGGCGTTTACTAGACGGCCCTGGGCGTTTACTTAGCACCCCTGCCCTGCTCGATTCCTCCCGTGGGTGCGTTTGCTAGACGGCTCCGCGTATCGGGGTGACTTCTTCGGAGGGCGGCTGTTTCCTGCTCTCTACCTCAAGGGGGGGGGCGGGGCGAGAGCGGGGGAGGGCCCTCTGCGGCGCCAGCTGTCCGACGACCTGTTTTATTGTCCACCGGCGGCTGCTCGCACGGCGGAATCCCATGCCAGGAAACGCCGTGCTCGCCCCCGGGGTGCCTCGGGCTTCCCCTGGGCTTGTCGATGGTCCTGCGATGGGAAGAGCGCAACCTTCCCATTCAAACAGATCCTTGGACGTCCTGGCGTCTCAGGGTTGTCGGGCCGAACGAGATGGGGGGATAGGGAGAGGGGGGGCTACGAAATCTGCTGCATGCGGCTGGTCTCGGCCCCACCGAGGGGCCCATTCCTCGGTACATGGCCGCCTCCGGCGCCGGGAGGCGCCGGGAAGATCAGCTGCGTGAGCTGATTCTCAGCCCCCCCCCCCCTTTGCTATCCCCCCCCCTTTCGCCCGACCCAAGGTTGGGTCTCTTGTGGAGGGTTTCTTGTGGGCCGGCCTCCGCTGCAGAGCTCGCGGCCCTGCCGGGCCGCCGTCGGGCCGGGCAGGGGCCCGCGGGCACGGGCCTCTCCAGGACAAAGGAGCTATACTTGGCGGCGCGCAGAGGGGGGTAGGGCCGGGCAGGGGCCCGCGGGCACGGGCCTCTCCAGGACAAAGGAGCTATACTTGGCGGCGCGCAGAGGGGGGAGGGGGAGGGGGGAAGGCTTCTTCGAAGCACCCCTGCTTCTTAGAAGGTGCGGGCCTTCTCTGTAGATGTAAGGCCGGCGCCTTCTAAGAAGCAGCCTCCTTCTAAGAAGCCTTCCCCCCTCCCCCTACCCCCTTCTGCTCGCCGCCAATATACTCAAGTCGGGCCTGTCCCTGCACAGGAGGAATATTCAACAAGCAGTCAAACATAGACTTGGGACGATTGTTCTAGGATGTTGTTGACTATGTTTCGGCATGCTTTGTCTGTGCTTGGTTCTTCCTCCAAAAGCCGCCTGTAGGAGGACATGCCCGATCTCAGAGAAGAGCACATCGGCGAATACCTGGGTTCGGTAGCAAAGAATGGGAGCCTTGTATACCCTCTTAATTCCGTCTTTGGCGTCGATTGGTGTCTGGGAGTCGATGAGATGGCACCGATTTAGCCTCGGCTAGCGTCGACTTCGCGTCGACCTGCGTCGATTCGCAAGAGCCGACAAGATGGTACGTCAGGCTCCCACGAGTTGCCACCGAACCTGGGCACGACGGCAGGGGGCGTCTCGGAAGCGCTCAGTGGGCTTCCGAAGATTACCAGCCTGGAACATTTTCCTATCCCTATGCTGGGCATCTCCTCATCACGATGCCAATCTTAGGGATTCCCTTATTTTTCGACGGCGAATCCCTGAGATTGCCATCGCCTTTTGGTGTGTCAACCTTAGGGATAGGGATAAGTTCGAGGCTGGTCAGAAGAGGCTGCCCAGAAGGCAGGGCGGTGGCTTCGGAGAGGCGAGCGCGGGGCGGCCGGCCACCGCCGCAAGGCCTCCACGCTCCCCGGGCGCCCCGGGGCCCTCTGCCCCTGCCGTGGGCGACGCCGACCTCGGCCCTTCGGGCGACGGCCGTCGGAAGCAGCACTGAGTCGGGCCTGTCCCCCTACAGGGGGGATGATCAAACATAGGCAAAAAATAGTCCGGGGACGATTTTTGGACTCCTTTGGAGTATTTTGGGGGGTATTTTTTCCGTATCTTTTATTTTCCGCCCAAAATCCCCCTGTAGGGGGACACGCCCGACTCAAAAGTAGCAGGTGCTCGGCGTGGGCAGGGGGGCGGTCGCACCGGATCGGGCTGGTTTCCGAACACGGACACACTTCGGGTGTAGCCAGGGCCCCAGGTAAGGGGACCCGGTTTGTGGTAGGGCCCCAGAGCGCCTACACTGGCCAGAAGCACTAAGCCAGGTCTGCCGTAGCTCGTGTTTTTTCGGGTGACGGCAGTTCCGGTTAGTGGAACGGGGCGGGGGGGGCGCCCCCAGTACACATCACTAAACCAGGTCCCATTGAACCCAGTTCTGCCAACGCCCGAATACTAGCGCCGATGTTGAGTGCAGCTTCCCCAGCGTTGCATCCTGAGATTTGGGGGGCCCCCGCAGATTGAGGCGCGCGCGCGTGCTTGTCCCCGGGCCGACGCGCTGTCCCTCCAGGGGCGTCGCGGCCGTCACCCACGGCGCCCGCCGCCCTTCTTCACAGCCGCGGGTCCGCTGCCGCTCATACCGCTGCATCCGCAGTGCTCATACCGCGCAGGTGCTGCAGTCCCAGCCCCCCCCCGGGGTTTCGGGGGCGGCCAAGAGGGGGGCGACGACAAGGGGGGGGGGTGGACATCATGGCGTGGGCCATGACATGTCCCCAGATTTCGTGGCGCCTCTTCCTATTTCATCACGTCCCTGGCCCGCCGCGCACATGTCGCCGGCCATGATTTGCGCCCCCCCCCTTCTTGGACGCCCCCCTCTTGGCCGCCCCCAAGGGTTGCCGTGGTCGTCGCGCCCGCCTGCAACTTTCGACAGTTCTGGGTGTCGAGGCCTCCTAGATCTAAGTCGGGCATGCCCCACTACTATACAGTTCAAAAAAGTAGTCTGGGGACGACTTCCCTGTAATGTTTTTCAAAATATTTGAATATTTTGGGACTCCCTTCCATTCTTCTTCCAAAATCCGCCCTGTGTGAGGACATGCCCGACCTGATCCTGGATGGGGTCGGAGCAGCTGGGGTCGGAGAGTCGCGCCGCCTCGCTGATGTGCGTCGCCGATGCATCGCCGATGCGGCTCAACATGGAGCTCGACTTGCTTCACGTCGATGCCGCCGATGCATCGCCGACGTCGTCGATGCATCGCTGACGTCGTCGATGCATCGCTGGAGCATCGCCGATGCGTCGCCGATGTATCGCCGATGCGGCGCGATCCTCCGACCCCATCTGGAGGCCAGTGCAGTCATCATCCTGGGCCGGACTATGGTACACATCTTAGCTCGATGGGTCGGCCTGCCCCCTCCGGCGTTCTCTCGTGCGTCGCGTTGTCGTCGCCTGTCGGTCCCTTGCAGCGGCTTCTCTGTGCACGCTGCAGGTGTACCCATCCGTCGTTGAAAGTAGTTTTTTTTGTTGTTGGAGTGCCAGATTCCAATCTACTTTAAGCGCCTTCCTACTTCAATGATCGAGTGGCTTCACCTTTTCCGTCCTCCTTAGGAGGCGGGCGGACACCCAATCTATTTTCAACGCCTTCCTGCTTCATGTTTCCATCAGCTTTTTCCGACCGATGGTTAACGGGAAGGCACGATGCGACGATGTACACACTGCACGACCCGCCCCAACGTGGGCTTCTATCCAGGTTTTTGGTAGACACGGACTCGGGCCAGTCTAGTTGCCACGGTCGGCCCCTCTCCGAGTCGGGTGCGCAACACCAGCCTCAATTTTCGGAGGCCTGCGAGGATCTCTTAGGTCAGCGCTTGAACCCCCCTGGCGGCGCCTCCAGCGCCACCCTGGCACGCTTCGTGCCCGCGAGGGAGGGGGATCCAGCGCCAACCCGAGAAATCCGCGCGGCCCTCCCAAAAGGGCACGGTGATGCATCCTTGCTGCCAGCGGTTTCCCATTCTTGGCTGGGCGGCTCCTGTGAGGCCCTCTGCTGCCACCTGCACGCCACCCCAAGACCCAACCCCGCTCAGAACTCGGGATCGGCTCCACGAGGCTCAACCTGCAACGTCACCCCAAGACCCAACTCCGCTCAGAACTCGGGATCGGTTCAACGATGCTCAACCCGCACGCCGCCCCAAGACCCCAACCCCGCTCAGAACTCGCCCCCAGAACCCTCCAGAGGCCTCCGTCGTGGCACGCTCGCCGAGCCGCGCCCAGCTCTGGCGGCGAGAGGGGCCCCCCGAGGGCCCAGAAACCCGCCGCAGATGTAGCAGGTACCTTTTAGGTCGTACAGTCATACAGTCCTCCGCCTCCTCCTCCTCCTCCTCCTCCTCCTCCTTCTCCTCCTCCTCCTCCTCCTCCTCCTCCTCATCCTCCTCATCCTCCTAATCCTCCTAATCCTCCTGCTCCTCCTCCTGCTCCTCCTGCTGCTCCTCCTCCTCCTCCCTTCTCCTCCTCCTTCTCCTCCTCCTCCTCCTCCTCCTGCTGCTCCTCCTGCTGCTCCTCCTCCTCTTCCTCCTCCTCCTCCTCCTCCATCTCCTCCTCCTCCTCCTCCTCCTCCTCCTCCTCCTCCTCCTCCTCCTCCTCCTCCTCCCCCTCCTGTGACAGATCACCGGGCGGCAGGGGCGGCGCCGCGACGGGGTTTGACCAGACCTGGGTCGGGGGCGGGGCCAAGATGGCGGCCCTCTAGAGAGGCAAGGGGGCTCCCCGAAGGCGCCCACAAGGAGGCTCTCGTGAGGGCGGCGCTGCGTCCAACCGCCCGGGCGCACCCTCGGGAAGGCCCCCCCCCCCTCACGCCACCGCAGGAGCTTTTCCGGCCGCGTCCAGCCGTGGCGGCGGGCCATGGGCAACGAGAGGGGGGGGTAGGCATAGTGGGGGGATGCATCGACCCCCAATCGCCCACTGATCGGGTTGACCCAAAAGGGGGTCCAGCGACGAGGGAGCGAGATTTGGTGCAATAGATTTGTGGGGTTGTCATAAGTTTGGGGCGTGCAACGCAGCTTGGGGCGCAAGTGTATTGCTGTATTCCCGCGTGCAATACATTACTTGCAATACAATGCAACACAATTCCCCGGCGCAATACATTTGCAATACAATTGCCCCAAATATGTTGCTTTCCCCCCTTTCAGCTGGACCCCCTTTTGGGTCACCCAAAACTGATCGCCGATGGGGGCCCGATAGCCCCAACCTGTCCAGGAAGGTGCGGATTCACCATCGCAGGCGCTGTTGTGTGTTCCGTCGCAGCCAGTCCTCTTCGATCTTGTCCCCGTCGTGCCGATGCAGCTCGAATCAACGCACATCCCAATCCGACGGATTCATTTCATCATTAATTCGGGCCTGTCCTTCTAACAGTCAGAAAATAACCTGGGGACGATTTTTAAAAATTTATGGTTATTTGTAAGTATTTCGGATTATCCGTAAGGGCTTCACCACCTGCCGCCGGCCCCCTCTCTCGGAGAATGGGCCATGGAAGAGCGAAGTCATGAGGCTTTGGCCCTGCCGTGAAGCAGTGTCGGGACCTATTTGTTTTTCGACCCTGACCCTGCCGATCTGCGTGAGGGATGCCGCCGAATTTCTGACATGTGGCAAATCCCTACTGTCTTTGGACCCTGACCCTCCGGATCTGCGTGAGGGCTGCCACCGAATTTCAGAAATGTTTTAAATCCCACGTGTTTTTGGACCCTGACCCCGCCGATCTGCGTGAGGGGTGCCACCGAATTTCAGAAATGTAGCAAGTCCTTTGTGTTTTTGGACCCTGACCCCGCTGATCTGCGTGAGGGGTGTCAGGAAATTTCAGAAATGATGCAAATCCTTTGTGTTTTTGGACCCTGACCCCGCCGACCTGCGTGAGGGGTGCCACCGAATTTCAGAAATGTGGCACATCCTTCGTGTTTTTGGACCCTGACCCCGCCGATCTGCGTGAGGGGTGCCACCGAATTTCAAGAATGCGGCAAATCCTTTGTGTTCTTGGACCCTGACCCCGCCGATCTGTGTGAGGGGTGTCAGGAAATGGCAGAAATGTTGCAAATCCTTTGTGTTTTTGGACCCTGACCCCGCCGATCTGTGTGAGCGGTGTTACTAATTAAAAACGCAAATCCTGTGTTTTTGGACCCTGACCCCGCCGACCTGCGTGAGGGGTGCCACCGAATTTCAAAAATGTAGCAAGTCCTTTGTGTTTTTGGACCCTGACCCCGCCGATCTGCATGAGAGATGCCACCGAATTTCAGAAATGTGGCAAATCCTTTGTGTTTTTGGACCCTGACCCCGCCGATCTGCGTGAGGGGTGCCACCGAATTTCAGGAAAGTGGCAAATCCTTTGTGTTTTTAGCCCCTGACCCTGCCTATCTGCGTAAGGGGTGCCACCGAATTTCAGAAATCTGGCAAATCCCTTGTGTCTTTGGACCCTGACCCCTCCGATCTGCGTGAGGGGTGTAATTTTTTACCTCCCCAGGAATTCTAAGAACCCTCCCGGGGGATGCTAACCAGGGCTGTTTTCGGCTCCCCCACCTCGCGCGGACAGTAACAATTTACAGTAGGAAGCAGAAAGCAGTACTGTAACAATGGAAACTGGAAACTGGAACTGGTGCAGGGAGCAGCAAGCTTAATCCTCGCAGCCTGATGGCCCCGCAAGGGGGCCGGCGGATTTGTTCCTCGAACATACGCCTGTGGGAGGATCTGCCCGACCTAACTTTATCAACCCGCGGCCCCAAAGGTCTCGACCCTTCCGTCCCAGACCTATGTTTGATGGCCCTGGGGCCCGGAAACGGCCCCGCCAGGCCGAAATCGAGAAAAAGCGCCCAGACCAAAAAAAGTAGTTGCCAATACGGGGTCCCTGTAGCTGTGGACCAATTCCTGGGGACCTGTTTTTCGTCCGGGCTTGTTTCGTGACCGTCCCGAGGCCCAGAAAGGGCCCCCGGAGGCAGAACACGACGAACATCTTCCGTCCTGTCTTTTCCAAGGCATTGCATGTCTGGAGAATGACCCTGCCAAGGTCTAGGGTTCCCAGATGAGGTCCGATTATATGGGGTCGGAGGATCGCGCCGCATCGCCGTTGCATCGACGATGTGGAGCCATTTTTCTCCGCGCCGACGTCGCCGATGCACCGCCGAGGTCGCCGGTGCGTCGCAGATGCATCGCCGATGCGGATCGGCGATGCGGCGCGATCCTCCGACACCATTTGCTCGGACCCCACCTGGGAGGGCCCTGCCAAGGAGAGGAGCTCTTCGACTGCCTCAGGAGGACTCGAAGATGTCAAAACGGCACAGACATACGCTCTCGGAGGTCCGCGCGGGTTTCTTGGATCGACGCTGGGATCTCCATAGGGCGGCCGCCCCGCGCGGACCTCCGACAAGCTTATGCTTATGCATCTCTTCCCTCCTCCCAGACCCCCGATGTTTTGATTTTTTCGAAACATCGACCCCCAGAGGTCTGGACCCCTTCCCCGACCAGTGTTGCATCCTGAGTCGTTGTTTGACGGCCCCGAGGCTCAGGATGGGCTCCCCGAGGCCGAAAATAGCGAAAGACTTCCCGTCGTCGTTTTTTCACGGCGCGAGGGGGTCTGGGCCTTCCTCTGAGGACGGCGCCGATCACCCAGTCGTTCTGCCGGGACGTGATGAGGCAGACGCTCTCCGCGCTCGAGCACCTGCACACGTGCGGCGTGGTGCACCGGGACGTGAAGGTGCGGGTGGGGCGCCAACTTCTCGCCAAGCCTCGACCCTCGAACTTCGTCGAGTCCCCGACTCCGGGCGTCATGATTCTTTCATGACGTCAACCCCCAGGGGTATCGACCCATTCCCCCAGACCTCCTCGCGTTTTCAAAAGTCGCAACGGGAGGTTTTTTTTTGCTATTTTAGGGCCCCGGCGGGCGCTTCCCTGGCCTCGGGAGCGTCAAACAACGATTCAGGATGAAATACCGGTCCTGGGACACGGGCTCAGACTTCTGGGGGTCGACGTTGAAAAAATCACGACGTCGGGGGTCTGGGCCAGGGTCGAGCCCCTCCTCGGGGAACGGTGTGTTATCCTGAGTTGTTTTGGGACTTTCCCGAGGCCAGGTCAGGGCGCCCAGAGGCCAGAAAAGGCGAAGAACCTGTCGTCGTGACTCTTGTTCATGGCTCGACGGGGTCTCGAAGTCCCCTACTCTGGATGGGACAACGATCGCCCCCTCCTTGGATCCGCTGGGGGGTTGGGCACGTCCTGCCTGTCGGAACGAGTGGAGGGGGGGGTGGCGGAGGAGGAGGAGGAGGAGGAGGAGGAGGAGGAG